TTATTCATACCCACACGTATGTGCGATTGTAACATCCGAATCGCAAGAGTAGAGTTGAAGGGCTGAAAGTGTAGGTTTTAGAGGATGACTCGGCGAGTCAGGTCGCGGTCATGGTCGCGTGTCAAGTGGCCTACTCGGCGAGTCCCTAGATGGACTCGGCAGTAGGTGCTGTATGGAGAAAACCCTAATTTTCGGGGTTGAGCCCTATATAAAGAGCATTATACTCCTCCACAGCCTCCCTTATTTCCCCCTTGAGTTCCAGAAACCCTATAATTCGTGGAGAGATCATTTGTGGAGCAAATTAGAGCTTGGAGAGGTGTTGTTGAAGAGATCTTGAAGGAGAAGTGGCTTGGATCAAAGGGCTTTGCTTGGATTCGAGTTTGGCTGCTATTGAGGCATCTTTTGGAGGTAATATCTTCGTCCTTAGGCTGTGCATTCCTAGTTTCATCATTTTGGGGTTTGTGGGGAGTATGTCTTGGAATGTTTTGGAGTTTGGAGGATAGATCTGAGGTTGCTACCTCAGATCTGGAATATTGAGGCCTAGAGTGCATTAAAGTTCCTGTGTTTGTGTGCTTAGTGAAGCACCATGTCCCAAACCTTGGTTTTAAGGTGAAAATGGCTTAGATCTCGTTAGATTCACGTAAAGTTTGCCACTTTACGTGATGGATGGATTGTAGGAGGTTGGATCTATGTTTTGGATCAATTGCATGGCCTGAGATGCTTCTGTATGGATTCAGATAGGTGGTACTCGACGAGTCACATGGGTGGACTCGACGAGTTGCTTGAAGATGGCCTGGGACTCGACGAGTTGGAAGAACAACTCGGCGAGTAGGTTGAAGATGGCCTTGGACTCGACGAGTCCATTTGGACTCGGCGAGTCTTGTCGAGGAAGTCCCAATATTTCTGGTTGAGTCGATGAATCGGTGAGTCAAGGGATGACTCGGTGAGTTGGGTGCGAGTGGACTCAGAGTTGTTGGACTCGACGAGTCTTGGGGTGACTCGGCGAGTTGGGTCGCTAATTGAGGGAAGTTCTGAGCATAGGACTCGGCGAGTCATCGGGATGACTCGGCGAGTAGGGTCAGTCAGGGGTTGACTTTGACTCGTCCAAGGTTGACCAGTTGTCTTCCAGGGGTATTTTGGTAATTAAGGGTATTTATTGAGTTGTATGTTTTGATGTTTAGTGAGGAGTTCGTGCCAGAGTTCGGAGCAGCGGGATCTTATCTTTTCAGCCGGCAGTTTCGAGGTGAGTTATCCTCACTATATCAACAGGGTCTAAGGCACCAAGGCCGGCCCTTTATTGTATTGAGATTCGGTTATGGTTATTATGTTATTGTTTGATGTGTCTGCATCCTGGTAGCTAGGATGGTACATGCTAGGAGGCCTTGTTAAGGTCAGTTTTCCCGATATACAGAGTGATGCTATGCTAGTGACCGGTTAGGTCGGTAACCGGTTAGGGTAATGATATGCTATGTGATCTGCTTGCTCGGTTTGTTGACTATGACTGTTATATGAATGTATGTTTTGTGCACATGGTTGTTTGGACTGGAGATGGGTTGAGGCGGGTCCTGCTTTGTGCTGTAGGCCAAGATACCCAGGGCGGACCGGTTGTTCCGAAGGCCCAGCGAGCGGTCCGGATAGGCTGTAGGCCCCACGAGGGCGGACCAGACGTGCCGAGGCTCGGAGAGTGGACCAGGCCGACTGAAGGCCCGATGCGGGCGGACCAGTCACACTGTAGACTCAGAGAGTGGACCAGGTGGGTTGAAGGCCCGATGCGGGCGGACCAACCCCACTGTAGACTCGAAGGACATGACTAGACCGGAGGATGGATCCGTTGGACTGAAGGCCCGATACGGCGGACCAGTCACACGGTAGACCCGATATGCATGGTTGTTCTATGTTTGTTATGTTATGTATGTTTTATATGTTTTGGATCGGAAGGGCGTATACGTGGTTGGTATTTTGGGGGTATCTCACTAAGCTTTCGGGCTTACAGTTGTGGTTTAATGTTTTTCAGGTTCTTCAGGAGACTGTGGCAAGGCGAAGGCGCGATCGTACCGCTCCTCATGATTTTGTAGCAATGTGATTCTGGGAATACTCTAATGACTTGTATTGAAAACCTTTTTGTAAACATTTTAATGAAAATCGGGTTGTTTTGAAAATTTAAATTGGTTGTATTTTTCGGATGTTACAAGTTGGTATCAGAGCCTTGGTTTGAGTGAATTGGAGGAACACTTGTGTGACTCCAGTCTCAAATCGAGGAGAGTTTTCAAAAAGAGAATTTAAAATGGTTTTCAAAATAAGTAAAGGAGGACGCGGAGGTACGATCAGCCGGAGCCAGTAAGTAACCCCAAAATACCATACATGACAATTGTTTTATTGAGCTTTAATAGAACAGCATGCTAGAGTTAGGCTAGGGATCTTCAGGATTTATTGATGAGTTGCCTGATTTATGATGCCTGCTAGCCTAGGGTTCCTTGTGAGAGATTTCTAGTGTTCCTCTAGTTGTGAGGATAGAGCGATGTTATGTGTGTCGCTAGGGTGTTGTGGGAGTACTTCATACAAATATGGGTTGGTGTGGAAGGTAGTATGGGCCCGTACTACTGAAAGCACGGACTCATACGCATCAGGGAAACCATGACCTCTAGGGTTGGGATGAGAGCGGTTCCCGGGATAGTGGAATATGTCTGAGATTTGGTGTTTTATTTTCAGTATGGAGATTTCAGGGCACGCTGGGAGTGGATCCGGGTCAGGATCAGGAGCCGGAGAGGGAGTTCCGGGTGGGTCTGTACAACCGAGGTTGTCAGCCAGATGAGTACGCATGAGTTGGATGCGAGGATTCGTGAGATCTTGCATGATGAGGTTGCTGCATTGTTTCGGGCTGAGCTGCCAGAGTTGTTTGGGTCGATCAAGACCGCCATGGTGGAGTATTTTGATGAGCGCTATGCGGCTCTCACGGAGACGGCTGCCGCGGCGGCTACCGCAGCAGTAGCAGCGGCAGGGGGAGGAGCTAGTAGAGGTTTTCAGTATCGGGACTTCGATAATACGAAGCCTCCCACTTTTGATGGAGTTCAGGATCCGATCGTTGCTATGAGATGGTTATCAGATGTGGAGGGATGTTTCTTCACGTGTTCATGCCCTGCTGATCAGAGGGTGAGGTGTGCTTGAAACCTGTTGTGTAACAGCTCAAATTTTCAAATAAATTTTTCATTAAAAACAAAACATCATTATTCGACAAAAGGGTTTATTCCAAGTTTATTTCAAAAATATAAATAATAAATCTCCAGGATCTTCAACAGTGGCAGTGTGTACGTGTCACGCCGGCGCCTTTCCACGGTCATCACTAGTACCTGAAAAACATAAACACAACTAGTAAGCATAAATGCTTAGTGAGTTCCCCAGTATACGACTTACCCACATACGCCTTCCGGCCCGGACCTTTCGGTCCACATAACATTGCCTTCCGGCCTGTAACATAATCGCCTTCCGGCCCATAACATATCGCCTTCCGGCCCGTATTAAATTGCCTTCCGGCCCATAATAGTATAAAACATAACAGATGTAACATAACACACATAACACATAAGTCACACATCATACCGTCCTTTCTATCACATAAAGTCTCGCCTTCCGGCCCGTATTTAGCATACATCACATATAAGCATACATCACATATAAAACATCTGCCTCTCTAGACATAGCATGAATATAACACATACGACCTTCCGGTCTCACAGTCAAACCCTTCCGGGTGAAGTATAGTGAGAAGACTCACCTCGTAGTATGCAAGCTATAAACCCTTCGAGCTACTCGCACTCGATCCGCTAATCCGCAGGTTCCCTATAATACCACATACCTTTGTTAATGATCTTATCAAACAAGACAACTGACCCTACTAAGTTACATACAGGTCAACGGTCAATCTTGACCGGACTCGTCGAGTGCAAAGGGTAACTCGACGAGTATAGACACCCTGACTCCACTCGCCGAGTCTGAAGAACGACTCCGAGTTCCAGTGAACCTTCAAGCTACTCGCCGAGTCTCGGCGAGTTCTAGTGAACTTCAAGCTACTCGCCGAGTCTGAAGAACAACTCGGCGAGTTCTAGTAATCTTCAAGCTACTCGCCGAGTCTGAAGAACAACTCGGCGAGTTCTAGTGAATCTTCAAGCTACTCGCCGAGTCTGATCATTGGACTCGGCGAGTCCTCGCCATGCAGTCAATCCGCTGCCTCCTGTATTTCGCATGATTTCGAAGTATATAGATATGGGGCTTCCTGGACTTTCACATATACTATTACAGGGGTTTTTAAACACTTATAACAACACTATAATCTAACAATTCCCTTAAATGGGTTTCCTAAACCCTAAATTCGCATACAACGTAAAAGCTACAGATTTTGATCCGAAGATTACCTGGAAACGTGTTCCCTGTGTCCCCAAACCTCCAGTACTCGATTCCTTTGATCACCACCTTGCTCCTCCTTGTCTAACAATCTCTTCAAGCCTCCTCAAGTCCTCTCTCTTGCTTCAGATGCTCACACACTCCCAAGGTATCTTCAATCGGCCAAAAGACGCGACATGACGGCCATAAGATCGTTATATACGATTCAGAAATGAAACGGCTAGGGTTCAGCTGAATCAGCGTCGACTCGCCGAGTCCCTATTTGGACTCGTCGAGTCCAGTCGCGTATCTGCGACTGCGACCAAGACCATGGCCCTACTCGGCGAGTCAT